TTTTTTTTTTTTTTTTTTTTTTTTTTTTTTAAATTTACTACGATTAGTTTGTCAGTTTTGTGTTCGAATCAAAGGGCGCGTGGCAGAATAAATAATTAGAGTATCAATAAACTAGTGAGAGACAAATTTTACAAATGAATTACAGCCAAGGGAAAATTGATGTATGACAGTTCTCAACAGAATTTGATACATATCTTTTTTTTTTTTTTGTTTTTATCAATCAGTAATAATAATTTTATTATTACAGTATATATAGAAAGGTCGAAGACTACAGTCTTGAAAGTCAAGAATTAATCAATGATATAAATACATTGACAATTTGAATTATTCTTACTAAATGTTAATTCACTTTCACATGAATTTGTCTACATAATTTCTGCAATATCTATAGAATTATAATTGTTCTATATAAACTATAAATTGTACAATGTCAATATTCTAATTAAAATCTGTGAAATATTTTATTTATTATCGTCCATATCATCAGGAACAATATACAAATTCGGTTTCGTACTGTTTCCTCTTAAATAATAATAATTATAATTAATAATAATTAATAATTATAATTAATAATTAATTAAAATAATAATTCATAAACTGCATGGATGAAAAAAAAATTTGCCAACAAATTTCTACGCACTGTCTCTATTGTGTATCAAACAACAAATTTATTGCTAAGTCAGGCACTCAACGATATAATAATAATATTTTCATAGATTCTTTATCTGTAATGTTTCTTCTAAACCTTTGTGAATTAAATGCGAAAGAGAAAAGCGAGTGGAATTTTTGCAAGTCCGACCTTGGTCGAATAATTGCGCTTCTTCGTTAGCATTCTCGCGATGACGGAGATAAACCGGCGATTTGTTACCTGTACTGATTTGATCCACGTCATTAAGAAGTAATTATCATTGTCAAAACAGCGTAAAAATACCAAAAGTAGAAATGATCCGCGATAATAAAAACTTGTGTACCATTTTATTCGTAATTCGAAGAAATGGTGGGAAAAAAGTGAAAAATCGCACGTATCACGTACTCTACAGGATTAATGAAATTTTGCAAAGCTTCTGTGCGAAGGATTAACGAGCTTATCGGATATTTTCACACTTATCAGTGAATAAAGCGTTCGTAAACAACGATTTAGAGGCAATAGCATCGTATAAACGTCAGATAAGTAACAATGATTCGTTGAAGCAAGAGAATAAAAAAACGAAAACTATAAAATCTAATCATTTCGATTATTTTGCTTTATTTTCATTCTCGAACATATTATGTAAATGCTCTAACATTTTATTAAATTGAATTATTCGTGATCTCGAAGCTGAAGGATTAGAAAGGAAATTTTTTTTATCCGAGATTTAATTAAAAACTGTTTCGAATGCTTGAGCTCGTCGTAGCTCAACAATTGCAAAAGTTAATTTAAATAATTTCCAGAAAATTTCACTTAAATCTTAAATCTGGAGCTGAAAGTTTTGTTGAAATTTTAAATTAAAAAAAAAAAAAAGAAAAGAAAAAATCGAGGATCGTGAATTTTTCACGAAACTCGATGCTTCGAGGATTTTTTTTTTTTCTCAGTTATAACGCACTATAGCGTAAAGCAGTCACCATGAAGGCCGTGTCAGCATGGCACCGCTTAAAAATAACAATTATGATAGCGGTAAACAGTTAATCACAATCTATTTTTCTAAATCTAACTGACGGTTCTCGGTGATTACTTGCTTGGTTTAAAAATGGTTTAAGCAAGCGTGAGAATAAGCATAATACTGCTTTAGAAATGATGTTCATAATGCATATTTGATGTCTATCGACGAGTCTAAACATGAGAACCAGATTATTTTGCATTGATAATTGTGGTAGATTAGAATAGAGTTGAACCAGTTATTTAACTTGAGTCGCCAATTTCGCGATAACAGTTGAAGATTCCTTGGCAAAAATGGCAGTGCAAGTATTTTTAAAATATGAATTTAAAATAATATATAGATATACCTTTGAAATATTAAATTACTATCTTTAAATTATTTTTCTATTACAAGAGGAATTTCCTCCTAATAGAATTAGAAGATCATTTCAACCTTAAGACGAGATTTGTACGTCAGAAATCAACAAAATTTCTTCTTAACTGTTCACAAATCTCAAATCTCTATAACAATTCATAAATGAATCTCTAATAAAACTAACTGCGATGAAATTCAACTTGAACTGAAAGGAAACGAATTACAGGATGCTTCACAAGAGGAGAGCAATAAATTCTCAAACTTGTGAACTGGTAGTTAAGACGCGTGGCGCTAGTGTCGCACCTTGAGCCATCGCAATCTGCCGAAGAGTAAAACCGCGATTAAAATCGATGACTCGGTGTAAAAGCTGTTTTCAAACACGAACACGAATGCTTCTCGAATTCTAAAAAATTTCCTATTGCGCCACTATGATTCCACTTGTTGTCGTAAATTGCGATCAACGACTGTCTTTGATACATGATTTATTGCGCTGTTATATGTAACGGTGTCTACCATAATGCCGGCAATATATATCAATGCTTTATCTTCCTTTTATATGTTCAATAAAAACTAAATTGTTACGATAGTACGGCTGATAGTGGAATTTACAAATACAATAGCGAGATTACAAATTCGAAGCGCGCGACAAGTTATTGTTGACGCACGTGTCGATCGCGTATTAAACCTCACTTGACAACATAATTACTTAAGCCAAGCTGCGCATCGTTGGTTCGTGTGTATTTAATATCGGCGAATGAAAGACCGCGTGCACTCTGAGTGCCATAGGAATGTTAACAACCGTAATGACACAAAAGTGAAAGCATCGGTGTACAGCTCTTTTCAAAATATAGATTCGCGATTAACTTGTTGCTCGTTGTTGCAATCTGCGATTTCTTTACATTAATTCACATTGTCGAATTTCTAACATTGTGCTTTCGGAGGGGACCTATAACTCTAGCTATGAATATGAAATTAATCGGCAGATCAGAATTGATGAAAAAAATGGAAGTGAAACCATCGACTCACAGCTGCTTTCAAAACACGTGATTAACTCTTAAAGCGTTGCTTTATTTGCAACTTCTTCATAATATTTGATTTAAAGGAAACTTTGTGACACCATGTAATCAATTCTTGTAAAGTCTAGAAAGCAACTGGATGTTAGAGGACACGAAAGTGAGATCACAGGCTGCATTACAACGAGTTTTTCCCCGATTGGGATTGCCCGAGGAGTTCGGTTCAGCAGTCATTCAGGTGGCTGCACGTGAAAGGGAAAACCGACACACAGCAAAAGGAACAGTTAGAACCCATCATCGATTAACCCATTTCTGTGTTTCGTTCGACGAATATTTTCTTTTCCCTTTTTTTAATTTTCCTCTTCTCGTTCAAATTTCCCACATGCACGATCAGGATGAAAGATAACAAGTCAATCAATCGGAACAAGACAGTTTGGATTCCCGAAAACTGTTTATCAGAAAATAATCAACAATTATGCTGTCATTGATTTCAAGTCGAAATCAATTTAGATTTTTATTATTTTTATATTAAAATT